AGTTTCCGGTACAACTATCGTAATTTTCAGTGTTTTCCGATATAAATTTTGGGGGGGCGTTGTAGGATTTTTCTGGTATATACATATATAAATACTATTTGATATTTGCTCTGAGTTTTTATTCGGTATATTTAGTGGGAGTTTTTCAGAAGTTTCATAATGTTTCGGGCTTTTCGATTATTTCGGTACTTAGTTGGTGTTTTTGGGACTAATTCGTGGTTATCGGGACTGGTTAGGGTTTTTGTGGACTGATTTAGGATTTTTGTTTGTAGGGTTTCCAAATTTTCGGTAGCAAATATTCAAGTATTAATGGACTGATTCGGGCTTGGTCCATTATTTTTTCAGAGGGTTTCAAAATTATTGGGACTATTTTGGGATTTTCGGGACTAATCTGGTATTTTCGAGGCTACTTCGGGATTTTATAGTCTTTTTTTCAGCTGATCACTGGGATTTTGCCGAAATTTATTTGTTCGCAGAAAATTAAACATTGCAGTGTTATGCTATATAACCAGGTTAAAGAAAGGAATGAAACCGAATAAAAATAACGTTCCGGTTTCGGTTTCGGTTTTGCAAAGTACTCGTTTTCGGTTTTGGTTTCGTTTTTCAAATTTTGTCTCGGTTACGGGTTTGCAAAAATAAAAAAATAAAACAAGTTTGACAAAAAAATAAAAATGTTTGCTGTGTTTAATTTAAATTCATATAAAGAAAAAACCTCTGAATCACATTTTACAAATTGCCTATCAGCATGAAAGCAATTTTTCTTTCAAAACAATAAGCAGTTTTTGGTTCAATTTCAATAGCTGATCTATCATAGCTTGAGCTTTTGTTCGCAGAAAATTGTGTCCTAAACAAAATATGAAAAAAAATAAAATAAAATAAAGAGAACCCTAAGTGTGACAACTCATAAGCGTGAGCACATTTAAAAGGAATTTTTTTCGAACGTGTAAACGGAAAGTGTCGCTTGATTTATTTTACTCAAGTTGCAATGAAACCGCACTTTTTGTTTAGTAACAAACTCGCACCTTTACAGCTACCATCGACTTTGTTTCAATTATCCTTTCAAGTCGTGTGGCAACTTGGTAGTCAAGTCCAAAAGGTGATCATATTTAATTTGTTCCAGTACTCAAAAATTTTGTCAGATTTTGTGTCAGATAGATGTGTGTACGGGAACGTGACGAGAATTTTAAGTTGTTTCTTTGGTGATAGCATATTAAAACGAAAATTGACTATCAAGTTGTGTGCAGCCTACGTTATAGCTGTCAATTCAAATGAATTTTGACAAGCAGTACCTATGTGTAATCAACTTGAAAGCAAATTCTTGATCGTGTAACGACACAGTTGTTCTACTGAAAAAAAAACAGTTTGTGGTTGCCAGTTCCGGCAGCTGATTTTTGTAGTTTTCTGGAAACCGATTGGAACCGGTTGCTGTGTTCGAAACGGTTTCGGTTTCGTTCTTTTAATGGTCAAAATTTCGGTTACGGCTACAATATAGTTATGTACATATTTGTATAAAATGTCTCTAACTGCGTAAGTTTCTATTAAATTTGACGTAATTTTGCCGAAAGTATTTATATTTGCATTTGACTAGCACCGGTTGGGTTATTGACATGAATGCACGAGTAAGTACGTATATACATATGTATGTATATATTTTCTGAGTGGATGGCAATTTGCTACGCCTAACAGACAGCAACTGATGTTGATAGACATTTTGATACAATAGCGCACGCCAAAATGTAATGTGGCTAGGCTGTAAATTCGTTAATAAAGGTAATTACCATAACATAGTAGCTTTCACCGTTCGATATACATACATACGTCGACGTGTTGTTTAGGTGTTTCGCCTTGTTTAACTTAGCGTCAAATAAATAATGGAATTACTTGTTTAACCTCTTTGGAAAATTACAGCCGGCACATTAACAGATTTTTAATTGCTTTTATTTAATTAGCTAGGGACAGCTTGAGAGTATTTGTAAAAAATTTATATTTTTATTGAATTTGGGGCTTCATGCTTTGGCAATTTGGTCAGAATACTTTCGCATTGTTTTTAGAACTATGTAAATATGTATTTTAAATACCTGCGTGCATTTACTTTCCAATGGCTACATTATCGTAAAAGCCAATGTTTTGGGAGTAAAAATTACATTTTATAATTAATTCAATTTTACCATACCTATATATAACCACTGTGAACCTTATTAGTTAAATGCAATGGTTTTGTCACATCGCTACTACGAAAATAGAGCTTAGTCTAAGTAAAAAAAAATATATATATATGTATATATATTTATAACAACAAAGCTTAATACTAATAACAAACCATATTCTCCCATATTGAAATTAATTAATTTTCCCATCATTGTTAAAAAGCAAGCATCAAATGCTCGGAAAACAAAAAAAAAAACAAAAAAAACTTGTTCAGTCCATTTTAAAATACATAAAAGAGATTTTGAAGCGCAAACAAAAACACAGCATGCTTGCTGAGTAAACTTGCAAAATGAACAGTGCGAATTTGGGTGCATTCAATTTATTTGCTTACATGCACATTGATATGAAATTATTTTGATTTCTATTTAATAGGACGAAATACTAAGAGTATATCTGTGATTCATGCTAACTTATGTGATATTCGTAATACGCTTAACTTGAGCTGGAATTCTCAAAACCACTGCAATGCAATGCTCGTACAAATATCTATAGAAATATGTGTAGATTATGTATTTACATATATTTAAACATCTGCTGCAAATTTCGTAGAATAGACTGAATATTATTATTTATTTAGTATTGTGTGCCATAGTCGAATGGAGAGAGGTGCGTACTAACACACGGTAGGCACTAGATTCGATTCCTAGTTCAGGTAACAGCTTAAAATAGAAAAAAAGAATCGTCTAACAGCGGTCGCCCCTCGGCAGGCATTGGCAAACCGGGAGTGTATTGCTGCCTTGAAAATGAATTTCAAAAGAACCATTTGCCTTTCGGAGGCAATTTTTAACCGAATTCTAAAGTAGGACGATCTTCAAGCTAACTCTGGCTAATAGGGCGTTCTTCCAACATATATTAAAATAGGGCGTTAACGAAAAATTTTCTGATGTAGGTTGATCTTCCACTAATGAATATATGATTTCTTTTTTGTAAGCAAGACTCACTGCTAAAGAGTGCGACGTCAGTTAGGGAGATAGCCAGGCTACTATCAATACGTTGCACGCTATGGTGGGGTGCTCGAAATAGGTTAGGGAATGTCTGAGCTCTATACCATCAGAGTCGGAGGAATGCTAGTCCGAAAATCAATATTTTTAAAATGGAACCAATTTTTTTTTGTAATTTTGGCTGTATGGAGCAAGGCGCCGTCTTGCTGGAAAATATATTCGTTTATGCGAAACATTTGTACAGATGAATATTAGATATATTCCGTTTACACATAAATGTCTTTAATAACTGTTATCTAAGACATATAAAATAAAAATAAAAAATAATTATTTTTGATTTATAATATAAAAATCAAAAATAATTGTTATTTTTTAAATTTTGCATAAAAGTGGCAAATGAAAATTTACTTTCAAATTTGAGTCGCGGTGAAAAAAGAAATCGATTGGTATGTATCACTTAGTTGTAGAGCATTTTCTTGATAGTGCACTTTTCCATGACAGTTTTCATCAATAACTGTTATGTTCAGTCCCTGATTTTTACATTACAAACCATTTTTGCATAGCAACACAATTTTTGTATTGCTCAACGCAAAGGTTCTTATAAGGCGTCGTGAGGCATTTGCTAGTCTTATCATAAATTCTTAATAATTTTGTTATAAGCACTTATTTTGCATGGCTTGTGTTATACACACATAATTAGCTTGCCTACAGCTTTATCTAGGCTAATTAGTGTTCCAACGGAAACAGAATGGCCTAAGAAAATTCGAAGATTTACAGCATCCTTAGTATTTTGAGATAAAATTAAGCAGCTAATTCTTACACTTGTGCCAAAAGGAGAAATACTATGAAATCAGAAAAAGCGTTAATTTGTGTTTATTGCCTGAAAGCAAGCAAATTTACGACCGAGCGATCTATATAAATGTTTTGCCATTCGCTTTAATGCCCATTTACTATTTTCAATACAAATAAAATACGCAAACGACAAAAAATTCTTGCTCTTCAAATTTTCGCCAACCAAAAGAAACCAAGCCACCAAGCACCAGCAGCTACTCATAGTTCTTCTGTATTTAACTTTAGTTTTATCATTACAAGTAATCTTACAACATAAAGTAGCAAGTGTAATTGAGTTGAATAAAATGGTTTATTGTAGGATTTGTCTGTGTGAAGCTGGCTTGGCTTGGCTTGACTGGGCTGGCAGGCTGCCTTACCGCTTGGCCGCCTGCTTGTTTGCCTGGTAGTTTGCTCACCCAACCGGCTGGTGTCATCGCACACATTTAAGCAAATCCCAATCGGTTGGTGAGTCATTGGCGCGGGCAATGCCAAGTAAATGAAATGAAAGACGCCACACAAAAAGGGAATCAAATGAGAAGTAAATAAAAAAAAAAAATGGAAAAAGAAATAAAAAGTAAGAAAAATAACAAAAGCGCGCGATACAAACAAAGCCAAAGTTCAATGCAATCAATGCGAATTGTCGTCCATTGGCATTGAGGCGATGGGAAGGCGGCACACATTTACAGCAGAGCGGTCTGGAGGGACGAATGCGGTTTAAATGTCGCTTGGTTGTGGTCGGAAGCAGCGCACAGATGCTGCGCCCCCCGCCGCACCCCGCCGCCCCTCGCCTACGATGCTACTGCTGGCAGTTAGCATGTGCTAGCGCTCGCCAAATGCTTCGTTTCGTTTGCGAAGTGTTGGGAAATTTTCTCATTTTAGCGCATGCTCATTCGCCGTCAATCTCACGCTTCACCAATTTCATATGCTCATTTAATTTTCTCTTTCATAGCTCTTAATCTTACAACTTACCCATACATACATACATAAATATTTATCAACTCTTATACGCTTATTTACTAGCACGTTGTCGCAATCCGAATCGTAAAATGGGTTATTGTGTCTCAATTTACGAATGCCCCAGCCTTATTGAGGTAGTACAACGCTTCGAACTCGCTCCAACGGATCGTGAATTCCTACAGAAATCTCAATGTACCAATGGTTATGGGCAGCCGCCGTATGTCTGTTGTACGCCTGATAAAGGTTTCACTGCGTCGAATAGTGGCTCAACAACGTCGAGTACAACAACAACACCAACAACAAGCCGCCCATCGACTGTCAATCCACCAGCACCAAGCAATGGACGTGGAAATGTGCTGCCGGTGCCGCCTGCGTGCGGTCCAAATTCACTGGATGATAAAATTTACAATGGCAAAGACACGGCACTGGATCAATATCCCTGGATGGTGCTGCTTGAATACGTACAGAGTAAGTACATAGATATGTATGTATGTATGTTTGTCTGCGAAGTTGGCATGTGTGTGTATGGGTGATAAACAACTTCCAACTTTCCGGCTGCTGCTCGTTGTGTTTGTTGTAGATTAAATCGCCGTCATTGATTTGAATTTCAATGTCTTTTATGCTTACATTCTTCTGCTTGCTCTTCTTATTCTTCTCATTTGTGTTTATATATCTTGTTACTTTCCCCATTGCCTACCCACCAATGGTTTTTTTCTTTGCAGAAAATGGCAAACCCATACTAAATTGTGGCGGCAGTTTGATAAATCAACGCTATGTGCTGACAGCAGGCCACTGTGTTGTGGGCGCCATCGAAACGGAAGTTGGCCCACTGTAAGTGTAAGCGTGCTCTGGCATACTTAAGGCAAATATTACAAGCACGTCCTCTCACGTACATACATAGTACATATATATACAGACATGCATATTCCTTATGTTAACACACTTACA